AGCTTTTAGCTAGCCTTTTGATATATTTAGCTTTTAGCTACATTTAGCTTTTAGCTAGCCTTTTCCCACTTTTAGCCAGTGTTTTGATACTTTTTCCTTTTAGTTGGTGTTTTAACTTTCCCAGCTTGGACTCATATTCTAATATCTCATATTTTTCTTTTTTTTCTTTGATTGTTGATGCTAAAACTTGATGAAAGTGGTTCTGAAACGTTAGCAGAGAATCTAGTCTTGGACTAGCTGTTTGTCTATTTTTTAATTCTTTGTCAGAATAAATCTGCACGCCAAGGTTTGCTTCCAATACCACGGGTTTGTCTTCAAGTCTAGACGTTTCTGTGTGAAACGGACAACTTCTTTAGTTTTTAACTTCCAGAGAAGAAGAAGAAAAAACTCTTTGAGCGTGTCAGAAACTTTGTTACAAAAACATAATGTTTCAACCAAAGTGATCCAGGTAACATAAAACCTGCTCTGTTCATTTGCATCAAATAAAGCTGCTGCAGAACTTCTCGTCAGGTTTCTGGTTTTATTTCATGTCTTGCATGAACTCTTCTTCTTCTCCTCCTCATCCTCCGCCCTTCAGTCAGAGACCGCGTGAGAACCAAGATGGAGAGAGACATCCTCGCAGATGTCAATCACCCGTTTGTTGTCAAACTGCACTACGGTGAGCAACCCTGCATCCAGATGTTTTCACACCTGTCTCCACATGTTTTTATCCCATTGTACCAGCTGATCTTGTCATGTTACTACACTATGTTTTTGTTTACAGTGGAATTAAAACTGAATGAAGCATGTTTATTTGTAGCATTCCAGACTGAGGGGAAGCTGTACTTGATCTTGGATTTTCTCCGAGGAGGCGACCTCTTCACACGACTCTCTAAAGAGGTGGGAACAGTTCGTTAAAATGGTTCTGATGGTTCTGGGCTTGTTCTTTGCACTAAGTCATTTTTACTTGCTCAAAGTGTTTGTCCGTCTCTGTGTGTGTTTATTTGTGTCTGTTAGCAAAAAAATCTCATAAACCACTGGACAGATGCAATGAAGCTCTCAGAACATGTTAGTTGGATGTTCATACGACGGTAGTTTTAATGTTTATGAAGCATTCACACAAATTGTGATCCATTTTTCTTCCATACGTTTTTCAGCATTGTTCCTCTTCCACAGTTTTTGTGCTATTTCAACTAATCATAAATCAAAACATTCAGCTCTTTCAGGACAATCCTGCTGTGACTTTTGGTTTTGGTGCAACTTTATTATAAATATTTAGCCTTTTCTGCCATTTTTCTTTGTAGAAAATGAATTGAGCTCATTTTACATCCTTCAGATCTTTAGATCTGTTTACTACCTTTTACTGCTCTTTTCTCTTTTTGTTCTGCTTCAGCTTCTTTCAGCTTCCTTGTGCAAATTTTTAACTTTCTTCAGCTACTTTCAGCTAATTTCAGCTGGGGGGTGGGTTCAGCTGTTTTGTGCTTCTTTCAGATTATTTCTAACTTGTTGTGCTTATAACTTTTTTCTGCTAATTTCAGATTATTTTTGCATGTTGCATTTTTTTCTATTACGGTATTTCAGCTAGCTGTTTTATGCTAATTAAAGCTTTTTCAGCTAATTCCACTTTTTTCTTTACTCATTTCAACTCTTAAACCTAATTCAGCAAAAATGTTCTCTCCATTTCTTTCTGGTGATTTAAGCTTCTTTCTACCGTTTTAGCTACTTTTCAGCTGTTTTAGCTAATTTCATATTTTTTCAGATCATTTCCACATTTTGTGCTCATTTCTGCATCTTTCAGCCTAATTGGGCAAACATGTATTCTTTCTGCTTTCTTCTGCTAATTGAAGCTTGTTCTACCTTTTCAGCTACCTTTATAGCTAATTTTAGCTGTTTTCAGATAAATTCAAGTTTTTCATGCATGTTTTCTGCTACTTTCATCCTTATTATCGACTAACTTCTTTCTGCTACCTCCAGCTTGTTATGCTTCTTTCTGTTTTTTTCTGCTAGTTTCAGCTACTTTTTAGCTGTCTTGTGCTAAATTTAGCTTTTTCAGCTAAGTCCACATTTTTAGCTAATTTCCGCTCCTTCCACTTCCTTCTGGTATTTTAAGTTTCATTTTGCCTTTTCAGCTACCTTTTTCTAAATTCAGCTTTTTTAGCTAATTTCCTAAGTTTTGTGTTAATTTCTGATTATTTAAACCTAATTCAGAAAATATGTGTTTTTTCTGCTTTCTTTTGCTATTTTAGACTTGTTTTTCCATTTCAGCTACATTTTAGCATGTTTTTAGCTGATTTCAGCCGTTTTTCAGCAAATTCTTCAGCAGTAACATTCACACTGCATTTTTTGCAGGAAATGCAATTTCTAGTTTACTTTTGGATTCAATCCATTTCAAGATATTTTGCAGATATTGAGCTAAAATTACTAAAAACTTGTCCAAAACAGCTACAACTCGGTCTTTTCTCAGCGTTGGATAATTAATTCTAGCTCAACTCTTTGACATAAATTGCAGAGTTCATTTAATTTTATGGATTTATTCATTCGTCTGTTTGTTCTTGGCTCTTGTGATGTTTGTCTCTTCCTGATCCTTTCAGGTGATGTTCACAGAGGAGGATGTGAAGTTTTATCTAGCGGAGCTGGCTTTAGGGCTGGACCACCTTCACAGCCTTGGCATCATCTACAGAGACCTCAAACCTGAAAAGTAAGAACAAAGTCACGTGTTGAAATAAAAATAAATCTTATATTCCAGGCAGAGGATATAGAAATCAAAGATCATTTCTTCTATGCTATGAAATGTTTTCATGTTTCCTTCCCAGCATTCTTCTGGATGAAGTTGGACATATCAAGCTCACAGGTGAGTCTGCCGCTGCTTCCTTTACACCCCAACCTGTTTATAAAACACACACACTTAAACGTCCCCACCCTGCTGACCTTCATCGCTCGTGGCGCCGTGACAAGTTTATCTCATATCGTCCTGTGCATGTTTCCCTCATTAATTATTATATAATGAGTCCTGCCGCCACTGAGCCAAAGGTGACCTGAGGAAGTTCAGAGCTGCAGGACGAGTCACGCTCCTGAACCTTCTGCAGGCGAAGCTCTTCTGCTGCTCTACGTGTATCATCATATTTATGAAAATAACATCGTGTGTCATTTATTGGTGTGTCGTCCAGATTTTGGCTTGTGTAAAGAAGCGATCGATCACGAAAAGAAAGCCTATTCCTTCTGCGGTACTGTGGAGTACATGGCTCCAGAGGTGGTGAACAGGCAGGGGCACACCCACAGCGCCGACTGGTGGTCATTTGGGGTACTCATGGTGAGGATCATCGTTCAGCTTCTGCACTGAAGCGTTTTATTTTAAATCTGCACATCTGTCCAGCTGTACTAATTTCCCCTCCTCTCCTAGTTTGAGATGTTAACTGGAGCACTTCCATTTCAAGGGAAGGACCGCAAAGAAACCATGAATATGATTCTAAAGTGAGTAAAATCTGTTTTCTGCACTGAAGCGTTGGACCCCTTACAGCTAGTAGGACGACATGAAATGTACGCTGTCGGTCCCTGCAGGGCACGCTTAGGAATGCCTCAGTTCCTGAGTGCGGAGGCCCAGTCTCTGCTCAGGGCCTTGTTCAAGAGGAACCCTGCCAACCGGCTGGGTGAGTATCAGACAGCACGCTGACGCTGCTGCACAGGAGGAGAGTGATGCTAAATGTTTTGCTTGTAGGATCAGGTTCAGATGGTGCAGAGGAGATAAAGCGGCACGGTTTCTTCTCCACTATAGACTGGAATGTGAGCATGATTGTGACTCTATTTCCTTTTACGCAAAATGTCGTTTTTAGGTAGTGAGTAAAAGCTTTTTGTATTTATTTACAGAAACTCTTCCGAAAAGAAATGAAACCTCCGTTCAGGCCGGCTGTAGCACGACCAGATGACACGTTTTACTTTGACTCAGAGTTCACATCCCGCACCCCGAAAGGTGAGAGGTCAAAGCAAAGAAGCGATGTAGTGGCTGTTGTTCAACCTCTGTGCCTAAAAGCAAAGCGGACTTTAAATGTTTACCCTGACAGCTTTTTAAAAAATATTTCTTTGTTTTTGTGTTTGTTTTTCCAGACTCCCCTGGCGTGCCCCCCAGTGCTGGAGCTCATCAGCTGTTTCGAGGCTTCAGCTTTGTTGCTTCAACTCTGCTGGAGGAGGAAGACTCGGTGGAGACTGTAAAGCCCCCACCTCACCCGGTGGTCCAGGTCAGCTGGTGTTCACATGTGGGAAATGTATTTATTGACTCAAAGTGAGCTGGAGAGCACGATCATATCCAAGCACAGTTAGTCAAACATATTTATAATTTCCAACTAGGAATATCTTGTAACTAGGGGTGCACCGATTGCAGTTTTCTGGCCAATCACCGATTTTTAAAAAGTCTAACCTGCCGATACCAGTTTTGTTTTATAAGCGACACTGTCAGGTGTTTTAAAGTCACAATGCACCTTCAATTTTCCAATATTTTATTGAAAAACATACCCTTGAACAATATCCTGGAAACAATACAAACTTGTTTTAACTGGACATGAGGTAGTGCTCTTAAATGAAGTTCAGACAATTGTTGTTAAAACAAACAAAAAAAATCTGTAAAATCGGTTTCTCATGCATCGGCCGATTTCCGATCTCCCAAAATTAAGGAATTTGGTGCACCCCTACTTGTAAACTTTATATTTGGTAATGGATTAATAATATTTTAGTTATTTTTGCAAGTTACGCATTAAAAGCGAGGCAGGTCAATACAACCCAATTCTGAAAAAGATGGGTTGTTGTGCAAAACATAAATAAAAACAGAATGCAACGATTTATAAACTCCTAAATCCACATTTTATTTACAGTGGAACGCAATAAACATCATTTTTTTCAACTAAGAAATTTACCTTTTTTATTTTTTAAATAAGGCCATTTTGAATGTTATTATTTTTTCTGTTTCTTATGTCTTATTCAAGGTAATGTGGTGAGTGAGGTGGTGGGGCGGCACCCTAGCACCCTCTATTGGCCAGCCGCCACTGATTCTGAAACTCTCCCACCATTTTTCATGCAGTTTCTCACAGACTGGTGAACCTCTGCCCATCTTTACTTCTGAAAGATTCTCTAAAATGATCTTTTTATACCCAAGTCCTCTTAATCTGTTACTAATTAACCTAATTATCTGGTAGTTGCAAAATGCTTCTCGTTCCTTAGTCATACCAAACATCTTCAGCCTGTTGTTGCTCTTGTCCCAATTATTTTTGAGCAATATTGCTGCCACTTTTTCTTGTTTTTAATGAAGAAGTTATTTAGGTTTGTTATGAATGTCGGATTGTAAATAATATATTTGGCATGAAATTATTTGCTCCCAGATTTTCACCCAGTTTGGTAAATTTATAATAACGGGGTTTGAATCTATAACAATGCAGAGAAACCTTGAGCGAGAAAAGGGAAGACACATTTGAAATGGCTTCTAGGAGGTACAGTATAAAATCCTGAGTCGTGTCTGAAGCAGGAAGTAGCTGTGTGCTGTACATGTGGAGCAACAGTTAGACACAAAGTGTTTCTTCAGATAAATCCAGCTTCTTTTCACCCTACAGAAAACATCACCATCCTCCAGTCTCGTCAGCTCTGTCCTTTTCTTTCTTTGCAGCAGTTGCACGGGAAGAACCTTCTGTTCAGTGACGGGTACGTACTGAAGGAGGACATCGGCATGGGCTCCTTCTCTGTCTGTAAGCGATGCATCCACAAAGTCACCAACGCTGAATATGCTGTCAAGGTATGAATATACAAAGAAAACAGTCGTGGAAACAGGAAAAAAAAAAACAGGCAAAGTGCAACAAACAGTTTTTTTTGTGTGTGATTGACAGGTGATTGATAAAACCAGCACAGATCCGTCTGAGGAGATCGAGATTCTGCTCAGATATGGACAGCACCCCAACATCATAACGCTGAAGGATGTGAGTCTGATTTTTATTTATTTATTTTTGCTGTGGGCGGAGCAATAACCTTCACAGCAGCTGAGCCTGTCACATCCATTTGTGTCCCAGGTGTATGATAACGGGAAGCAGGTGTACATGGTGACGGAGCTGATGCGAGGAGGAGAGCTGCTGGATCGGATCCTCAAGCAGAAGTCCTTTTCAGAGCGAGAGGCCAGCTCTGTGCTGCACACCATCACCAAGACCGTGGAGTACCTCCACTCCCAGGGGGTGAGGACAACTGCAGCCACCACAGCTTCATCAAACAAATGTCTATGTTTTATCACAGAAACCGATGGATGGATGTTGTCTTTGTTACTGTTGTTTGACTGTTGTGTCTTTGTGTCCTTCAGGTTGTGCACAGAGATCTAAAACCCAGCAACATCCTGTACGTTGATGAATCAGGGAATCCTGAGTCCATCAGGATCTGTGACTTTGGTTTTGCCAAGCAGCTGCGTGCCAACAACGGCCTCCTGATGACTCCATGTTATACCGCTAACTTCGTAGCTCCTGAGGTGAATCACAATCAGAATAAACTTTATTGTCACTGTACTGGAATACAGAGATTGTTCGTACAGTCGTCTGAAAGATGGGCGGAGTGCACGTTGCTGCTGCTCCTGAGAGCGCAACCTCTTGTTCTTTTTAGATAGAAAAAGGTAAAAGGCCACGAGGAGAGGATAGTGGTATTATAAAAAAAAAGATCTCTTCATATCTTGTCCTGGTCAGGACATGATTAGAGACGTCAAAAAACTCTACCAGCAAACACATTTATAGACACATTACATATGCATTTGACAACAAGACGGTGAAATGTGTCCATGAAGCACTTCCAGATATTAGGGGTTGAACGACTACATATTTTTTAAAGGCGACATTAACATAATATAAGTCGAGTAAAAGTCAAATAGTTGATGACATCATAGGATCTCAAGATGCAAAAAAATATATGAATAAATAAATAAAACCATTATTTACCAAAAATAAAAATAAAAGACCAAACAAAACATTGGGAGCATATATTTTGCTTCTACCCTTTATCATACTGCAAATAAGTCACAGGAAAAACTAAACTATTTGTTTTTATTATTTAGCTGCAAAAGTGAAAGAAACGTGCGGCACGTAAAAAACGAAACTAAAAACAGTGGGGCGGTCGACCACCCCGCACCACCGCCAGCTGTGGTGCACATTAGGTTTAGTTTCAGAGATTAATATGTTTATAGGTTTTTTTATAGGTTTAGAGATTTTTGTTTGTTTGTTTGTTTGTTTGTGAAACAAGGTCAGAGGAAGCTGGTTCTGTTCGGTCGATTGGACCCGGTGTTATACCATATTCTGTGACCTGCAACAGTGCATGCAACACCGCCCCCTACAGTCACAATATACGGTGGTCACAGAAAATGGTATAACACCGGTTCACAACGAGCTCCAAACAGTCAGGAAGTTGAACCAGAAGATTTATCTTTAGTGAAACATTTCCAGACTGCTGATGCATTTCTACCTGTTTGCCAAGACTGGGTCTGCTCTGCTCCATCTGTCTGCTTGGAGGAATCCATTTTTTAGCTGCTCGTGCCCAGTGCGGCTCACGTGACACAATGACGTAACTGCGACGTAATGACGTAAATGCGAATACTCGACGTGAAATTTAAAAACTCACGAGATGTGCTAGGAATCGACGTGTTGATTACTCAAGTAGTCTGTTAAAGCCCTACCAGATAGACCATAGTCCTGATAAGATGTTGGTGTCAGCCGGTACAGCACTGATAAGCATCCACAGAAGTTCTCGAGGTTTGGGGTGGGGGCGGGGGTTGCGATAGACAAAGCTTTTCCTTAGTTTGCACATGTCCCAGGAGAAATTCGCTAAGTCGGTCTGCTTCGAGGCCAAACGGGGGAGTCAGATTCAGATAAGCCACAATTGTTGATTTTTTTCATGCAGACTGTTATTTATTGTCAGCCTTGAGTCCTGCCAGTACTTTTGATCCAAAATGACCGGATTTGTGGACATTCCACTGGTCCGTGCTTATGAGCTCCCTCCAAGGTCGTCTCCAACATGCTGGCAAGTCCCAGAAGCCGCAGGTGGCCTGTGATTCTCACAAAACTCTTCCATATTACGGTTTAGTTTGTAAATCAGCTGATTTTGAGTACTCGAAGCACGAACCAAACTTTCACACAGACTCTACAGTTTTGTCATTGTCAAAACTGCTGCTGTCGTCTTCTTCAATAGCCGATAACATAGGTATCCGCCGGTAAACAGCTCCATGTGGAGACGTTGTTGCTGTAACTTTAAAGATTGTCTTTAAATTGAATCAAATGTAACGTGTGGTGATGTCTGCTTGCAGGTGCTGAAGCGTCAGGGTTACGATGAAGGCTGTGACATCTGGAGTTTGGGAGTTTTACTCTACACCATGCTGGCTGGGTGAATTATACACTTTAAGTATTTCAGCTATTTTTACTGCTCTTTGTACTCATTCTGCGTTTTCTTCCTTCCACTAGTTTTACTCCGTTTGCTAATGGGCCTGAGGACACCCCGAATGAGATCCTGAACAGGATAGGAAACGGTCACTTCAGTTTAACTGGAGGAAACTGGGACACTGTGTCAGATGCTGCCAAGGTAGACCTCAGGTGACCTCAGAGTCCTTAATGATCTCCAGAAACGATCACTCATTTGATGTTTTGCTGCTTCTAGGACCTCGTGTCCAAGATGCTTCATGTGGACCCTCATCAGAGACTGACTGCTAGGCAGGTCCTCAAACACCCCTGGATTGTCCACAGAGACAAACTACCCAACAGCCAGCTCCCACACCAGGACCCCAAACTGGTCAAGGTAACAGAACTCTGGGCATTCTCTAAATATGAGGTTTAAAGATGGGTTTATACAGATTACCAGTACATGATTTAAATTATTAAAAGTTGGGTGAAAATTTTATTGCAGTTACTCACAGAGCTTCTTTGTACAACATAGTTAAATGTGTATGGAAGTAAAAGAATAAATAAACATATATTTATATGCAACTTAGGCTGTTTGATGAAAACACCTGTCCTTATGGTGCATCGCTTTTTACAGTGACCAGTATGCTGCTGTGGTGTCCTGCGTTAAACTGGAGTTAGAAAAATGTTGAACAGGAGCTAAAAATCAGATTTTTATTTATTTATACAGGTTAGTTCCCGTTGAACCTCAGGGACTCATTTACAAGAGAGACCTCTTTTATTTTATTATTTTATTTTATTTTAAAGGTCCACTATATCTCTGTATGCATCTTTACACACTGTTAAAAAGCATTAATAATAAGCATCAATGGATTTGTCAAAGGATAAAATGGTGCACTAAGTGTTCGTTTTAATGGTGAAAAAAGAAAAAGTACCTGGAATGTATTGCCAACATGTTACACGTGTGTGTATGTGCATAAATGGGTGTGCGTGGGTGTAGAGGTTGCAGCTTTTTGTTATAGAGCTGGCGGTAAATGGTGCCAGATCATACAGATTGTATGCTGTTTATTTGTCATATGCAGGTTAACACAAGCTCAGCAATGCAATGAAATGTTCAGGATGAGAAGAACCGATTCGACTCGCTAAAAAAACAAGAAATACTAAAGCATGCAATAAAAATACAAAATAAAGTACCAAAAAGTGATAAAGAAATATAATATTTACAAGGTCCAAAGAAATATAGTAAACAACATGGTGGAATATAACAGTGCAAGTAGGATGAATTACAGTAGTTTTCACCGCATAAATCCCGTTTCTTTGCATAAGTTGCATGCCCTGCGACTTATAAGCCAAAGTGACATTTATGGATTTTCCCCCATAATTATAAACCAATTTTTGGCTGAGATATGATCGCTTTCATTAATTCTGGCTGAAAATATTGAACACTACCATTTTCAGCCACTAGATGGCGCCGGTGTAGTATGGCATGCTGTTGTGTCATGTAATACGTAAACGTGGCTATTAATGACACAATCGGCCTGCCATAACCTGCCACTTTCATCCAGCTCCGGGATCATGCCTGGAGCAACTGTCAAATCAGCTTCATTTCGCTGCACCGCCCCGGCTAAATGCAGCTAATTTGACCATTGAAGTGCATTTATTAAGTGAAAGATCAACTGAGACACACCTTTACTATAAAGTTGAGCAAACAAATAATTGTTTTTAGGTGGTTATCTTGTTAAATTTGCACAGTGACTCATCCTGTGCACTCGCCTATTTCCGCGTATCGGCTTTTGAAATGCAGCTGATTTGACCGTCAAAGTGCATTTATTAAGGAAAAGTTAGACTAAGACACACATTTGCTATAATTCTGAGCAAAAAATTATTGTTTTTAAGTGTTAGTCTTGTTAAATTCTTGTTAAAGTCCTCCCGTGCACACCCCAGTAGCCGCCATTTGGCAGCCAATCGATTTTTGGTACAACACCGGCCCACATTTCCAGGTTGTCAGCGGTGACGCGTAATAGATGCGACTTATATGGTGAAGCGACGTATTTATGATTTTTTTCCACTTTATTAGACGTATTTGGACTGATGTGACTTATAGGGCGGTGCGGCGTTTATGGCAGAATTTACGGTACTGTGAATACCGTATGTTTCAGACTATAAGGCGCACTTAAAATCCTTAAATTTTCTCAAAAATCGACAATATGCCTTCTGTATTAATTCTGTTTGTGCTTACTGACCTCAGACTGATTTTATGTGGTACACGGCGCTCAAAAATCAACTTGTTTCGCTTAATACACCTTATAATCCGGTGTGCCTTATGTATGAAAACAGACCCGTTCATTGATATTGTGCTTTATAATCTGAAAAATACAGCAAGTATTTCACAGGTAATGGCTTAAATGCACATAACATAAACTGCACAGGTTGTGTGACAGGTTCTTGCACAGGCAGTAACATTGAGATTAATTCTGATGGTAAGGTAGTGACATACATGATTCAGCCACATAGTGCAGCAGCAATAAACATATTAGGGGATTAGACTGTGTTCCCACGTGGCTCACGTTTTGTTTTCAATGCCTTTATATTCATTTGATGCAACAAATGTTACATATTTTGAGGATGAAAAATAAATCTTAGCTTTTTGACAGAAATTTAGACCAACACAGGAAGAATTGTCTGCTTCAAGGTTTTAGGGAATTAAAATGTTAATACAAGGCTGCTGGGTGACTTCAAATTTCACAACCACATTTTGGATGTTTAAGTTGACGTAACTGTGGTTTTGTTGATGCGCAGGGTGCGATGGCAGCCACCTACTCCGCCCTGAAGAACTCGCAGCCCACTCCAGAGCTCCAGCCCATTGAGAGTTCCTTCCTTGCTCAGAGGCGCGTCAAGAAGCTGCCCTCCACCTCCCTGTAGAGACTTAACGATGGGCGATCAGCTCGCTGGGGTCTGATCCAGAACCGCACCTTCAGTCTCCACACCTCCCAGTCAGCTTGCTAGAGATCGTTGGGTCCAGCTTCCGAAAACCAGCTAAGGAGCGCTGACTTTGGTCCCGTCCTCCATCCTCCTCTGTGTTTGGGCTCATCATGCTCCGCTGGAAGCCAAACGACTTGGAGAAGCAAAACATCACGATGATGGACGGGAGCGAGGATGAGTTTTAAAACAAAAAGGGAAAGGTTGCAGGTTTTTCGCTGATTTCTTAGTGCCGTGTGGGTGAATGGTGTGCACGCGTGTTTGCGTGACGGAGTCTGTTTTTGATAACGATGATCATTGCTGTAACTGGTTGCTGCTGCACGCCTGTCTGCCTGTGTCGTCGGCCGTCTTCCTGTTCCGTTTTTTTTTCTGTAGCGTTGATGAGCTTTATATTCCTGGTTGCACTGCCAGCACAAAACCACCGCAAACCAACCGTCTGCTGTTCAGTGTTTTTCAAAGAGCATCGTTAAGATAAATATGAAACTTTTTATTTTATTACTATTATTATTATTTGCCATGAATGCCTGTTTGGCTTTGGTTCAACCAGAGGATGTGATAAATGTCAAACGCTGATGTTTTTGGTTAACGTCGATCGAAACTAGTATTTGCTTTTACAGAGTGTGAATGTGTGAGTTGCATGACTTGCAGATGTGTGTGTGTGTGTGTACTGTCTTGCGGGATGCTGCAGATTCATGTGCATGGTCTGGTGATGTGATGATGTCACGTGGCTTCCTCGTTTTCGCTGCTCTCCCCTCTCTCAGCTTCGTAAATCTGTTTTGAGATGTCGACTAATTTTACGACCTAGTGAAATAGGTGGCTCTCTGTGAAAGAAAACCTGCCCGAGGAACAATGTGGCATGTTGAAATCTGCTTTGTTTTCATGTTTTGTTTAGTTTCTTCCACTGGATGATGTATAATGAAAGCTGTTCTTGTGTTGGCTGCTTTTGTTGTTTATCTTTTTGTCTTGCGAAACGGGAGATTTAAAAAATAAAAGACACGCTGAGTCGATCCTAGCCAGTGGACGTGTTGCCAAGCAGGTCTCTTCTTCTGAACTGAACCGTTGTCTTAAACTAATGGAGCGCTCAAACACAGACCTGCCCTCACTGTGGAAGATCTTTCTGCATTCCTGTTGATTTCTATGTTTTTTTTCTACACGGACACTGAATTTGAAATCTTCTGAGGAAGAGTGAATGTGTCCCAGACTGAGTCTCATCTGGGGGCAGGTCCTGCTTTCTGCAGATTGGAAATTTAAAAAAAAATCTAAACGTCGTTGCAGAAGAAAAGACCTGTAAGGCTCAGCTTTTTATGAACCAGCTGTCTTACCTCAAAAAGGATCAAAGTTCAGATTTCTTTCTTTGTTTGGTGGTAAAGCTCCTTTTGACTAATGGTATTACGGTAAGATGTTATTGTATGATAAAAATGAAGATTTTTATATCTTGCAATATTAAAAATTGAGTTGCTATGACAAACTGACTGGCTTATTTGTTAGTTTTCTACATTTTTAGGGGAGGGGTTTATAAAGGTTGTGTAACACTGAAGAAATGACCAAATTCATTGTTGTGACAAGTAGCACGACTGATTTGACATGAATTCATATTCAAGTTAATTCAGAAATACTTTATTAATCCCCAAGGGAAATTAAATGTTGTTGTAACTCATCATCCTGGTTGTTAGATGCTGATAGATGTGGGCAGGAAGGATCTCTTGCAACGAAGTCAAATAATCTGGCCACAGATACTGATCCATCCACCCAGATCCAGCTTGATGTCAGATCTGGTGGGCCTCTTGGTCCTTCTGGGCAGCAGGACACGCCTCCCAGCTGTCTGCCGAGCTCCTCGTCACCACAGACAGACAACTGAAGGTGCTGGGGGGTGATCCCAGTCCTCCCATCATCACGAGCCAAGTTTCTCACCAGCTCCAGGATCTCTGTGGTCAAGTACTCGAGAACCGCCATCAGGTTGACGAGAATTCGTCCACGGCGCCTCCTTTTCAACTCATTTGGGATTTGGGGCTGTATTTGAGATATTTAAGCTTTTGAGATGTCAATCAGCTGCTCCTGGTCATTAAAAAAAACACCTTGTTGCCATGGTTACACATCATAACAAATGCCCTAAAGTAAAAAGGTTTCAGTAAATTCCTGCATCCAATACCAGAGGAAGTAATCATCTGAAAAAAAAGTGATTTATATCCAGAAAAAAAAGAGGAATTAAAGTTTTCAAAGGCAATAAATCAGAATAAATGTAACAGAGCTGCTCCAACATGCAGCCACCCCGAGCGGCACAAAAACACAAATAAATTTTTAATTTTAACAGATTTAATGAATCTAATGAAACGTTCCATTGATGTTTCCACAGATGATCACTGGAGGGAGATGAAGTGCAAGCTCTTAAATGCCCAACTTTTAAAAAAATTAGGTGCATGTTTATAGTAATTGCCAAGAAAAAAACCGAGAGCTTCTTGTGGTTTGTGAGCTTTAAGTGTTGGAGCAATCAGTAAAAACATGATATGCAATGATGTCTTTTGTCTTAAAAGTTATCCTTTCCCACCTTCTTCCTCCAAATCTGAGCAATCCCCTCATATCACCACATTTTTGACCTGCTGTTAGGTGCATGTGTGTGCACAGCAGCACTCCCATACATACCAGACTGACTTAATGCTCACACCAGGGAAACGCCTGAAACCATTTGTACACGAGCATGTCTGAGATAAATGCCTTCATTTGTACCTAGACAAGCACTTCACAGATCCCGGTGCTAACATATTAAAGACATTTACTAGTTATTTGCAATGAATCACACACACACACACACACACACTCACAGAATCGGGCTGCAGCAGCTGAAGGAGAAAACTGATATTGATTACAGAACAGCGGAAAACCATCATTTACCTCAGAAGAAGAGAAAAGGGTGAGGTTGCCATTTTAATGCTCACCCTGTCTGTTTAACTCTGCTGTCAGCGTTTTCTCAAAATTTCTTTTCAAAAAGAGCTTTTTGCTTGAATGTTTTGTTTTTTTAGTCTGATGTAAGGTATGCGTTTAGCAGCTTCTGTGCTTCTCGCACATAAAAACCTAATGTGGAAACACGGCTTCCCACTATGACACTGTTCAAGGGGAAGTTAAGTTTTATGATGACAACAATTCTTACCTCTACATGTGCAAACAAGATTCAGCTTTTACAACACACCATCCATATTTTTACTGGGATCAAGATACCCTATGATATGTAACATTTAATATACAACACACTGCACATGACAAGCTATAAAATATATTACTGTAACTGAGCCCTGTTGGATGGCCTAAAAAAGGCAGCTCTGTGAAACATTTGCTTTTTGTTCCAGATCTTCATTTACTTCATCACGGGTTGTGCTGTATGTTTAAGGCTTTATTTTTGTTCATTTTCCCTTAAAGTTCATTTTAAAACAACTTGTTTCCTTAATTTTCAAAAGGGCTTTTTTGATATGAGATTCTTTGGCAATATCATGAACAATTAACATCTCACCTGTTGCACATAGCTGAACGAGCTCAGTCTGGAGAAATAGTTTCCTTCAGAATCAGAATCAACTTTGTTGTCATTGCACAGTTAAGAACAGCGAAAATACATTCCAGTGCAGGCGTCCAACAAGGGTAGACGAACATGCACGGGGGCTGCAGCTTCGTGTGGAGCACTGCCCTTATCACTTGGATAAGAAAAGGGAAGAAAAACATGAGGAAAGAAGGTATTAAAAAAAGATCTCTCACACAGCACAAGCAACATAGAAAGACGAGACGTTTTGAAGAAGCCGACGAATGTGGTGGGATTGTCTGTGAACACAACCAGAACGTTCCATAGTCCTGATAAAGATGGCACAGTGTCTATCAGCTGGTTCAGATCTGATAAGGGTCCACAGATTTCTGGGGCGTGGGCAGAGAAGAGCTTCATGATTTACATACCCACCAAGAGCAATTTGAGATAAGTTGGACTATCCAAGTCCAAACGGGGGAGCCAGATTCAGATGAACAAAATTGTTTTGGTACAGGCCGACTCTACTGATCTCAAAACAGCCAGATTCGTGGTCATTCCGTGCTTCCAGACGTCTCCAAGGTCGGTCGGTTCCTTCATCCAAAGCTTCTGAGTGTGAGCGCTCGAAGCACGGTGCAATCCTTCATATAAGGCAGGCAGCCTCACCGTTGCTTCTGAGCAGACTGAAGAGCTAACGGTCAGTTTAAACAGAATCAAGATCAAAGTGGGTTGCTTAAAGCAATTTCAGTCTTAAAAATTTTAGTGGTTCATGCAAAGGCTTTTCAATAAACTTATACATCGCTATAAATATTGATGTACGCTGTTTTTCTGACAAAATATACTGTATATTATTCCTGCAGGACGTGCATCAAAGTGATACAACTTGCTACATGAGCTTTCCTGATGTCTTGCAGTTTATTGCTTACAATTTTAAAGGCACATCAGATCCATTAGGCAGTCTATAATTAAATTATTTTTATACATAAAAAAAAACATTGATATCACAGTTAAACTGAAAGGTGGTTTTGCTGTCATATCTGTAGCTCTTTCACTTCGTCCAGCCAGATTATGTAACGCGCCGAGTACAAACTAAGTCCTCTGCCACACACATCAGATGTCTAAACCCATCAGCTGAAAGAAAATAATTTAAATCCGAGTTCGATAGGGCAACATCCACCACACTGCTACAATCAAAACACAAACACAGATTAAGGTAATCTGGAGCAGGAGGTTCTGATTGTGAGATTGAGCCCAGGTTTGTATTTTTTTTTATTTTATCTATTACAGGATAGAGGATACATTTGTAGAAGAGGTTTGCAGATAATTATACTTTGGAAGGATTTAGCTCACGATCACAATTAATTTAGAAACACTCAACTGGATGCGACTTATCCCGCGTCAAGTTTTGCTGATGAGTGGAAAAAAAACACGCTAGACTTCTTCAAATCAGGATGTATTATTTAACAGAACGTAAAACTGTGCAGAACACTCGCATGAAACATCTTTCTGGCTGTACTTAACTCTGTTTTATCCAGAAGATACAACCTCCTTCATTTTGCTTTTCTGACTTATTCATACTCTGCGTGACTTTCTGTTTTCTTTGGAGATCGGCAAAGCTAAAAGCAGAACGAAAGCAGCCATTGCTTCAGCTAATGCAGCACCAATCCAGAGTTAAAAGCATGTGAGCACTCAGACACGCATGCACGTAGACATTGCACACGTGCAAACTCACCTCTGACCCGTTAAAAGCTTCATCTGTTTCACTTCAGTCTAAAGGAGGACGTTTATTTAGAACCTTGTGGCTTTTGTTGCCAGCCTTGTGTCTCCGAGAGATCTTTGTCTTCCTTTCTTCCTCTGGTCATTCGTCTCTGCAACGCACCCACACAGTTGGTCGATACGTGTCTAGACAGAGAGGTAAACCTACCCAGGGACCATCTATTAGAGCAAGAAAAAAACCTAGTGCAAGGTATTATATCATGATGATGTAACTGGTTGGATCAGTTTGCTTTAAAAGCAAAGCCGTTTTAAACTGTTGTTATTGTTACATAAAATAAGATGCAATGGGCAAGAATGTGGATTTTGTGTTGGTTTTTATGCAGAAACATTAATAATGGAAGGCTAAGGAAGGTTAATGGGTTTTCCATTAATGGAGTCTATCTAAGGAGGAAAATGTTGCTGCTTGGGATGTTTTACTGGTTCTGTTACCAAAGAGTCCACGAGTTTCCCGTTTCTTACCCATTTGCAAAATTTGCAATTAACTGGCACCCCTAAATTATAGACAAAACTTTCATTTTACTTGTTTATATTTGTAGTCTTGCTATAAGCTATGCCTTGTTTTTAGTAGTGATACTCGCTTCCTTTGCTCATGGAGACATTGATAAACTGCATTTGGCGTAAACGACAACTGCAACTAAATGTTGGTTCAAGTCAGCCTGAAGCTTCTCCTGTCCTTGTTCCCCCTCCTTGAGCTGCTGCCACAACCTGCAGTGTCTACTGGCGGTGGATCTAACTTCCAGTTCAAATTAAGAGCAAGGACACTGCGAGGCATTTAATTTAGTTTTGAAGCTTTTGGAGCTGATGCATCGTGATAACGAATGGTTTCAGCCAGCGTTCTTGTTTTTGCCAATCCAAAAACCAAAGTATAACTGTGGACAAACTGGTGTAGCAGGACAGGGTCATGCTGAGCAGCAAGGTGATTAAGGGCGAGATAAAGTGGAGCATCACCCCTCCCTCCTTCCATTGCCAGTTGACGTGAAAGCTGTGTTGCTATGGGAAACCATCTGAGAGAGAGAGGGGACAATGGAGAGAGCAGCTGGCAGCAGAGGAGCAGGGAGATAAGACAGAAAGTGAAATACAGCTTTAAAAAAAATGGACTGAACTGCACCTTTTGACTGAGCAGAGCAGATTGAAGCATGCGGATGACGACGGAGCAGTCAGGCGGAGGACACAGCAGCTTGCCTGCATCAGCAGCACAGAGGAAGACTGCCCAATCATCAGCTGACGTGCTCATGAGCGCAGCAGCCAATGAAATGCCAGGAGGCAGCCTCCCAAGCACAACAACTCAGATGCAGAGACCGCACAATCGGAGCTCAGATGTCTTATTAATGAATGGAGCCGTTCCCAGGCTGCTTTGCTGCACATCTCTGCATCCCCCCCTGCTCGGCTCCTCTTTCATCTGACACAGCAGAATGGAGAAGGACACCAGCAGCATCATTAAGGAACGTAAGAAAGGTGGAGTGATGGCTACAAAGGGACGTCAAAGAAGCCAGGAAACCAGCGACGAGGACGCTGAGGACACGACTGAAGCCCTTAAAGGTACGGACTCACGGCCTGACCTCCATCTGCCGGATGCATCCTCTCCATCACCATCTTCCTCCGCTCTTCTTCTACCAGCCATGCAGCCTTCTGTGTCTGCCTCCGCTCTCCTGGCACTTGCATCCCCAGCAACCAGGCGTTCCATTTCCATGGGAGACTTCCGGAGGGTAACGGCAGCTCTGTTAGCTGGTTCTGACCCCCCATCCAGGTCTGCCACGGCCCCCTCCTCCAAACTGGTCACTCCCAGCTCCAGCATGGAGTTCGAGGCAGCTCGGCAGCGTCTGCTGGAGGTGGAGGAGCGGCAGCGGGTCATCAGAGAGATGGAGCGGCGGCTGGAGGAGCTCAGGGAGATGTTTGTGCGCTCGGAGCAGCAGGTGGTGGTCCACGGGGAGCTGGTGTCACGGATATCCACTGCAGCGCAGCAGGGAGAGCTGTATGTGGCAGAGAACACCCAGCGGCTGAAGACAGGCAAAAGGTTCAAGAAACATCGACCCGCCATCGTCTTCTCCTCCATGCTTGGACTTCGCACATGCCTTCCCTGGCCGGTGAAACTCAAATGAGACAGTAGCTACTTGATTGTTCTCTGACTTTAGAAATGTGCTTTACATACCTGGGAGGACAGACCTCCTGTCTTTAGCTAACTCAGTGACTCGGCTGCTCTCCAGCTTCAACCTTACTGCTCTTGTATCCCGAGGCTGGTCCTTAAAGGGTTTAGAGTGCCTAAAAACACCACAGACGCCAGTAAGGAGCTTCTCATTGTGTGTGTTTTTGAAGAGGCTAGAAAACCAATCATCCTCGCACCAGTACAACGGATGTCATTGTGTCCTCACTGTTTCCACAGATTCTTTGCTGCTTGCAGTTAGCTCATGAAAGAAACCCACATGGATGAGTCAGGTGATGTGGGAGGAGAGGCCTGAGCTGCATCATCCACTGTATTTTAGCTCGTTTAGGTTGGGTTCAAGTCTCAGACAAACCAAATCAGTCACTGACATGAGAGCAGAATAATCTGCTTTTTCAGCTCAAGATAAAAGGAGTGAGGGGCATTAGAAAACGATGAGAGGCTCGTGCATAGATAAAACTAAGAAAGCAGCATGTGCCTTGGCTTCAGTCTCTACCATGGCATCTGATTTTGGCCGCACAAACAAAGAGAAGCGAGAGACCGCAGGAAAGACGTTCAAGCTGGGACAACTCCACCTGTGGCCTCTTTTTATCCCGTCACCTAGCAACCACTCGCCTCCCCATCCTCAATCTGCTCCTACAAACACGCAGAATGTATCCAGCTGAGCGCTGCAACAGAATGTGACAGCTGTAGAGATCCGACGAGAGATTAAACATGAAAGCTATCCACGTTTGGAAAGAGCAAATTGCTTTAGTTTAACTCATGCAAGCATCATATGGAGAATTTAGGAGATGAAATTACTGCTTATTGTGTCTTTCGTGACTCCAAACAGGACTTAAGAGCCTCACTAGCGTCTTTAATTGTATTAATGTGGCAGCATATGAAAGTTGAACTGTTTAATTCAGGGTTTCTGAGTGTTTCCAGTGAACATTGATTCATTTCTCTTGTTTTGGAGATCAAATACTTATTCTGCCAACTATATTTTAATTCATCATACATACCAAGACGATGGAATGACATAATTTCACGTACACGTTTTACTTTGAACTCAATACTTAAGTATCTAGCATGCTTTTTTTTTTTTTTTTTTTTTAAAAAGCACTTCCTTGCGTTCGCTGCATTTGTGTGTATGAAGTGCAGAAGTCCTCTTTGTCAGAATCAGAATAAGCTTTATTATCATTGTACCGAGACGCAGCGAGATTATGTTCGGACAGTCGTCTGAAAGATGAGCGGAGTGCACGTAGCTGCTGCTACAAGAGAACTGGAACTTTCCAGATCTAAAATGGACAGATTTATGTGGGGGCGTGTGAAGGTAACAGCAGCGAAGCAAATGTTCAGTCTATGCTGAAACTAATCTATAGACATCACATTCATTCAACCTTTATTTATCCAGGTTAATCCCACTGAGCCTCGGGGACTCATTTACAAGAGACACCTGGAATTCTTGCACCTCACCAGTTTCTACAATGGTCATAATTCCTGATGGTGCTTTGTTCGTTCTTGTGTCATGAATGGGTCTACAACTTATTAAAGGAAAAGCACATGACTTGATTGCACAATCACAACATTGTAGGTTTCTATGAAGTTTGTTTTTATGCCATATAAAGTGCGGGCTTGCTTGCACAGACATACTGACTTTGTCTTAGATGCGATGATGTCAGATACAACGTGAGATGCTTCTAAAAACAGACGAGTTTTAAAATGTAGGCTGATCAGAATGAGGCCACTTGTTAACTTTAGGTATTTTTTTGAATTATTTTAGACTTTAAGGGCTTAAAATTGTAGTTTCTTAAAGCTGTTTAAAGAGAAGGACTCTGTCAATATAAACAACCTAACCAAAAAAAAAAAAAAGTTTCAAATAGCATCAAGAAGCTTGAAGCTTTGATGAGAGAAATGTCACAGATTTTAGGTTTTGGTTGAGCTAATGGATGCGAACTGTTTTCTTATAATCTATCTAAGTTTTCCACGTGGCCACTGCAAACATCTGTCCTGCAGAGACATCTGCAATAAGAAAGCTTCTGGAGAAGAAACGGGTCTTTGAGGCTTTAAATATGAATTTCTGCTCCTGTGTAGCTGCAGGGTGGTGTGCCATTTGGACGCGCTGGTATTAACAGAAATGCTGCGAACGGTTAAGTTGAGAACAACGTGGTCACTATCATCGACCTCATGCAGAAGCGTCTTTTGTTCGCACAGCAAAAACTAAAAACTAAACAAGAATTCTCCAAAGATCTCACGTGCAGAATGAATGTACAGCCGATTGTTAGATGTTTCTGTCGTTTTAGTTGTCTGGCCGCGCACATTGTTTGAGCCTGTGCTTGTATTTATTGCTTCTGTCTGAGGAAGGTTTGAACAAAGCAAGCTGAATCAGTGTTTCAGGAAATGGAAATGACTACAGGTTTCGTCCTCACAGCCCTTTACTGTCACAAATGCTGGCACAGGCACAAAACCACCTTTCTGAAATGTACCGTTTGAATGTGTTAATATTTTCTGCTTCTTCACTCAGCAGTTATTGAATACTTTAATTTACAGACTAAAAAAAATGCTACCTACGTTTGAATGTGAGCTCAAATCTTTGGCAGTGTTGTTTATAATGTTGTATGCTTAAAGTAAGCACAGGTTTGGTGATAATTTAATTTATTTTTTATCTAGATCAGGGGGTCTGCAACCTGCGGCTCTGGAGCCACACGTGGCTCTCTGGAACCTCTGCAGCGGCTCTTTCAGACTTTCTCCAAAACTAAAACAAAACTGAATTTTATTTAAATTATTGCCAACAATGAAAAAGCTGGTTTTAGCAGATTTCCTGTCATTTTCAAGTTTGTGAAGAATGTTACAAATACAAGGCGTAAAACGTGTGTACTACATCATATTAGTAGTTAGAGACACTTTAAGTCAACTTCCTGTCTCACATCGTGATCTTTCTCTCAAAACCACCAGAATGTTTTGGAATATCTTTAAGACAAGCTGCTGAGAAGGAGTATTTGACACTAAGAAAAAAAAGACAAAAAAAAAAATAAAGTCAAAGTAAACAAAGTATTCAGCTTCTTTCAGCTTCCTTGTGCAAATTTTAATATTTTTTCAGAAACCTTCAGCTGTTTTGTGCTCCTTTCAGCTTCTTTTTATTGACTACGGCATTTTATTGTGCTTCTAACTTCTTTCGGCTAATTTCAGCTTGTCGTGCTCCTTTCAGCTTAATTCTGAAAGTTTCAGCTACTATTTAGCTGTTCATGCTAATTTTAGCTTTTTCAGTTAATTCCACATTTTTAGCTCATTTCAAATCTTTCTGCTTCCTTCTGGTAGTTTAAGCTTCTTTCTGCCTTTTCAGCTACTGCTCAGCTACTTTTTGTTAATTTCAGCTTTGTTGAAGCTAATTTTCTAATTTGTGCTCATTTCTGCTAAATTAAACCTAATTCGGCAAATATGTGTTATTTTCCCTCTCTTCTGCTAATGTTGGCTTGTTCTTCCATTTCAGCTACATTTCAGCATGTTTTTAGCTGTTTTCCAGCAAGTTCTCCTGCAATAAGCACTCACTCTGCATTTTCACAAGAAATGCAATTTCTCTAGTTTAGATTTAAAAATATTAATGAATATCCAACAAACTGGCCTAATTTTATCCTGTCTTTCACTTTATTATTTAAGTAGGACGCTTAATTCTTCAACAATTAGGAGAAATCACATAAACCTGCAGAGTTCAGTGTTTTCACTTTTATTAAATTGTTTAAAATTATATATTTTTTCTTTCTTTACATGAATCTGGTCTTTTATTTTGTATTAAAATATAAAAATATCAATAAATGTTAATAATAGTT